ACAAGTAACAGTAAAGTACTATCTGCTATCCTGTTCTGCCTTCTCTTCCTAACACTTAACTGGGGGACATAACCGGTGTTGATACAGGAACACACTCGGTTATAAAATTATGGTTATCACTACACCCACCAACACGGAAATTTTCAGCTGCCTGTGGTTACTTTTCGACTATTCATAATTTATCTGTTTGATTTTTATTAAATTTCTTATCGACATGCGGCTACTTTTTGGCCTGTCTTACCGCAATATCTGTCCAAAAGCATTAGAAGCTATTGGGACTTCGAAAAAATGGGAGAAAAAGCCTATCTTTCATGATTTTAGTGAAATCTCTAAATTTCGATATTGATGTGTAGCCTAGTTGTAAGTACTTTGCGCAGTTCTTGTTTCCTATTGGTTATAATTGTCATTTTAATTATGCGTGCCAATTATTATTTATTTAGATAATTATTTCCTATTTTTACACAATCAACTTTTTAAGTTATTTTACTTTCCTTCGATATGACCCAACCATAAAGTCCCGATTAACACCGCTCCCGTGAGATCTAATTCTGGGGCTAGGGATATATAAGGACCTCGGCCAACTTTATTTCTGACAAACAGCGTATTGAAATCAAGGGAGAAGTACATTTGTGGTAATATCAGGTATCTGTTAGATACGGTTGTTATGAGCAATTAAATATTCGGAAAAGCTCTAGCTTGTAACGACAGCTACAATCGTTGGCTAGGGGCAGTCTCCCAATCAAGCAATCCAGGAATTGTGTGCACAAGTTGCATGTCTTTCAGCGAACATGTCTTCATCAGATCAGGCGTAAAGATGGCCAGAACCAGTAGACTCCCGCGCCGGACTATGTGTACACCGTTAGCTCGACTACAGGAGGCCCCTTGAGGCAGAACTGATCAGGGTATCAAAGAAAAATTCGCCTGAAGGGTGCACTGTTAATAGTAGAATGTTTGACGAGGCGGGCTGATATACTTGCAGTCCAAAAGAAATACTAAAGCGGGAAGGAGGACGGCGCTAAGAAAACGGGACGCTGTGCATCACGAACGCGAGCAATTTGAAGCATTAAAGTAATACTACTCTCAAATGGTCAGTAGTACTAGCGACACTCATTTATATTACCACACGGATATAATAAGACCGATGGTCATTGGTCGAAAACGTGCGTTCACCAAAGACGGGCGCTTTCTAATTTGGGTAGAAGGCTGAGCCGGTCTGCAGACTGGAAAGGTATGAAACTGCATAGACGTACCAGGTAGCCGGCTTTTCGCCACTTGACAATGTTTTCTCCCTGGAAGATAAGGACGTGGAAGAAACTGTCCATGAGGAGTACACAGTCGGGCTGGATGCTGGAGCTGTCCAGAAGCACGGCCTCGTCAGTCCCATCCAGGCGAAAGGCGATCAGGGAAGGCTGAATCATCAGAAGTGAATTGGAACAGTCCTCGGTATTCAGCACGTGTCTGCAAAAGACGTGCACGAAGATCAGACGATGGACAGACTGAATGTGTAGACCTTAAGTGCTAACCAAAAACTAGAAATGTCTGCAGCGGACAGCCAAAAGTTCCCATAAATATAAACAATTCACAGATGACGAAAACCGTTACTTATCCTTTTCGCTATTACCTTATCTTCTTAAAAAGAACAGAAAAAATTCTTATTTTACTCCACCATCGTTCACGAAATTACTTCTCACGCAGATCGAGGTTTAAATATGACGGAATGTTGACAACGTTTGGAAAAACAACACTGTAATTAGTGTCGGGAACCATACGAAAATAACCGAAAATGTGCAATTGTTTACCAACGAACACATTTAAGATGACAAAAGAAATGAATTAAGCTTGAGGGTATCAAGAGCGGAAAACAAAAAGAAACGAAGAATTGAATAACGTGGGTCTACCTTGAAAGAATTAAGGGTTGTGCATAATAGCACTAGACACTTATGTGTAGATAGTGGAATAGAGAACTAACCTGTAATAAGCCGTCTCATCTGGACTATTGTTGAAGACTTGGATGAAAGGAGAACGTCGCAGATGGAACATAAACTGAGGGTAAAAGGCAAATTCGTCTGGCAGACGGAACGAGGCAGCATCATCCTTTTGGTATTCGCCAAATTTATGACAGAGTTTGATCAACTGACGGTCCAGCCATCTAGAAGAAGTCAAAAATTCAGCATAAATTTCAGCTATCAAACGGCAATGCGCCATAGGCGTAAACTGTTTGCGATCACCAAGACGTGGACATCATTTATATGAATTATATATACTACTCATTAAGTTCAAGTAGTCTTTATTATTATCGTTAGTTGTTTCGCGGCTGAAGAATGTTAGCGCGAGTCAGCTTCCCGAGACAAATATCACACAAACTAGACGAAGGAATCAGGAGCATTCTGATTACCCTGGACCTTACTGTGTACTCACAGCCCCACCTACAAGCATTTCAGGTGACGGGAGAACCACTCGCATAACATTTGTTTCGATT